TAAAAATCTAAAAAAAATTATAAGATACATTATTCCTTTTAAGGGTTGTTTCTTTCTGTTTTGTTTTGTTTCAGCTTTTAAAAATGAAAACAAAGTCTCCACCTCAGCTGGTCCGGCAAAGGGAATCCCTCGCCCCCAGGGCCCTCAGGAGCTCACTTGGATGGAGGACGTTGGCACACAGGAAGGCACGGGCTGGGAGGTGGGCCTCGTGTCCACCTCCCTGCCCTCTCCCTGCCCACCCCTCCCCTAGGCCTTGTTCCCAAATCCCAGGAACAATCCGGAAAGGGGGTGACGGGAACCCTCAGCTTTTCCCTTCGTACCAAGCTTCAGGAGGACGATGGAGAGGGAGGGTTTTCATCAGAAATCCAGGTGGAAAACTTCCTTCTTTTGCAAGGTTCCTCCCAAGGTGGGGGCTTGGGGCACAGAGTGGGTCTCCAAGAGCCCTGGGGGGGGCGACCTTGGACCAGTGCATGAGAACCGGAGACCAACACAGGGTGGAATCAGACCAGTCTGGTCTCTCCAAGGCAAGAAGTGCAAAACGGTGGAAGGGGGTGGGGGATGGGGTGGGGCTGGACGAGGACAGGCACAGGCCTCGAGCCTGACCCCGGCTACCATAGGGAGTGGGGAGAGGCACCACCCCGGCCACAATCAAACAGGACAGATCCCCCCAGGACCTTCGAGAAAGGGCAGGCCCCACCGTTTCCTTCATCCATCTCTTCCTAGCAATCACCTTTGAGGGGCCAGACAAGAGGGTAAACGAACGCAGCCTCGGAGACCTGCTCTCTGTATCACTGCCTCTGGCTTTCCTCTTTGGGGAGAGAATAGCCCAGGTCCATCATTGGGTGCCCAGAGGGATGACTGGCGAGCCCCAGTGCTGAGCGCCTCTAGTGCCCATGGGAGGAGGGGGAATAAGGAGGTCTACCCTCAAAGCCCACTCTGAGAGCCTGGGCCTTCCCCTCCATCTCCTCCCCTGCCCAGACTTCCGGCCCCCCCCCACCTCAGAGAGCAGCACAAGGTAGGGCAAAGAGTCCCCGACTTGGAAGTCAGAAGACCTGGGTTCAGATCCCGATTCTGCTGTTTACTGTGTGATCCTGGGTAAGGTGCTTTCTATTTCCAGGGCAGTCTCCCTCATCTTAAAAAAGCATTTTCGGGGGACTGGATTTTGATTTCATTGAAGCAGGGGTGCAGCTAAGGAAACCAGCACAGAATGGTGAGTCTTCTGGTCTCAGAGCTGACTACGGCCCAGAGGGGTAGGTGACTTGCCCAGGGTCACACAGCCAGGGTGTGTCAGACTTGGGACTGGAACCCAGGTCTTCCTGACTCCGAGGCAGCCTCTCTATCTGCTACGCCAGGCTGCCTATCCTTCTAAAATAGTAGTAACAATACCTGCCTCCCCAGGACTGAGTGAGACGACAGATGGGGAAAGTGCTTTGAAAATCGTAAAGCGCTATAAAGAATAGTTAAGAATAAAGCTGCCATGGCTCCCCTGGCCCGGCAGCGGCGGCTGCTGCATGCTGGGGTTGCTGTACAGCCCTCCAGAGCAGGTATGGTGCCCAGCAGGGATGCCCTGCCCTGGGCCCCGGGCATCCCAGCTGCGACCTCCCATTTACTGCTTCTGAAAAACACACGTCCCCCAACCCAGTTCACAGATGGGGAAAAGAGAAGGCGATCTGGGGGCTGGTGGGGGGGGGGGTCGCACAGTTTAGACGGGAACAGTCTCACACATGAGACCAGACCTTAGTATCTATATGACAAGTGGGGACAGTGGGGGAACCCCAAAAGCTCTTGTGACGAAATCAGGCTTGGGAAAACGGGGTTTGGGGGACTTGGTGTACAAAAATAAAGAGCAGTGGACTGCAGCTTCTGCCTGGTTATGGGGCAAAGGGGAAAGCAGCTGAGGCCTTGGGGGATGGGGCACCCCCCGGCTAGGAGAGGAGGCACTCAGTCCCCCCAGGGCGGCTAGGGACCCTAAGGCCCAGAAAGATTCTACTCCTGGGCCTTGAAGGTTTGGGTGGGCATCTCCCTATTAAGGGGGGGGGCAGGGAGGAACTGCTGTAACCTACATCAGCTAAAGCCTATCCTCCTCCCTGGGGCTCCTCTACCATGGTCCTCCATGGGTGGGGGGGGGGTCTCTCTCCCCTGAAGCAAAGGGACCTTGCTCCTCAGGAGGCTGCAAAGACACCACTCCCACCCCAATTCACATGCCCTGGGCCTCTTACTTCTGCTCCCTAGAGCCCTTCTCTACCCTCTGGGGCATGGCCAGGTTAAGGACCCCTCATCAAGGTCTAGCCATCTCCCCTTCACCCATTCCCAAGCCAGCCCCACTCAGCACCATACACCCTATTCACCCATGTCCTACCTTCAGAGGAAGAAGTAGAAAGGAAGACCTGGGGCCCATATCCTGTCATGGGTGAACATGGTGGGACACTGAGCTGTCTCACTTTGGCCCTTTCTCCTCCCCTAGGCTCTGGAGGGGGATACTTTGTGGACCTCTTAGGGTTCCACTCTAATCTCTAGTCGAGCTGGGAGAACGGGAGAGCAAGAGGACCCCCGACGGGTTCCCCACCTGCTCCAGAGATCAGCAATGCTGGCTTTCCCTCCACACGGCCGGCTGATGGCCCCACCACAGCTGTGCAATCACAATTATTAGTATTATTTTTTAAATATCTCTTTCTTCCCCCTCCCTGTAGGAATTCCACAATATTTTTTCTGTCTTTTTTTTTCTTTTCTTGTAAAACTAGTTCTTTCACTCTCCCATCATAAAATCACCTTTGAAAACACGACTTTCCCCCCACCCCACCCTTTTTTAAGAAAGAAAAAAAATTTCACAAATGACAGACTCTCAGAAAACACGTTTCTAGGGTCCCTGGGAAACGGCCAGATCTGGGCGCCCAGGTGAACTTTCATCAGAGGGGTGGGGAGGGAGGCCAGCTCTTCCAAGAGGGACAGCTGACCGGCACTTGGACAGTCAACCAGTCAATGGAGGGTTCTGGTCCTTTTCACCAGGGGAAGGAAAGGATGGGCCCATGTGTCCCATGCCCCAAGGGCCACCGTCCCTGGACCCTCCAAGGCCAGCGGCCCTTACTTCTAACAAGTCCTGAGGAGGGCCAGTGGGCACTACTGGGATGGCCCTGAAGGAGGGGACAGATGGGGCTCTTTTTCCATTTTTCTGCTTCCCTTTCTATTTTCTGGAGTCATTCTATCCCTACCCACACATGTACACATGTACACACACACACACACACACACACACACGCACACACGCACACGCACACAGCTCAAACTAGAATCAAACAACCATCTTGGACAAGACGCATCTACTCCCCCAAACAATTACCCTCTAATCAAGCACAGTATATTATCTGGAGAAAACATGATCCCCCCTTTGCCAGCTCCCCCTTTCTGGAAGCCCCTCTTCCCCCCACTCAGATAAGCCACTTGAAAGAGAAGGAAGGCCTGAGGGTCTGCTCCTGCCCCTGGAAAGTAGAAAAGATCAGGATCCTCGGGGGAAGGTGGAGAAGATTTGGGGTCTCTGTCCTCCTAGAAGGAGGCTGAGCTCTGCGGCCAGCTCTCTGGGTCCCAGGGCCAGAGAGAACAAGGAAAAGACCATGATGGTCCCAACAGGCTGCCAAGCATGCAGCAGGAGCCGACGAGAAGGCCAAAGATCTCCAGGGACCTGGGGCTTTGGGGGGCCCCCAAGGCCCCAGGAGATGCTGGAGGATTTGCTAATTACTCCCACAGCCAATGAAGGTAAAGCAGAATGAAGAGCAAGCCTTCTACACACAGAGACTGAAGCTCCAATACAGAGTGCTTGGGCAGCAGTGGGGAAGGCTGGGAAGGAGGGGGCTCCACCCCACAGTGCACACATACACACAGGCACATACACGCCAAGATGCGACAGACACACACAGGAAGGACAGTGTCCCCAGAAGGCTCTGCTAGCACCTTTGGTTGACGAACTCTAGGGGCCCACTTCAGATCCTGGGTGTCTTTGGAGGGGAGGGGAGGGGAACTCTCTCAGCCCATCTACCCCAAAGAGGAATTAGGAAGGAGGTGGGCTAGCAGGGGATAGAGAGAGGGCTGGCCACCAGGGGAGCTGCCTGGTCCCCAGTCTGGGTGTGGACGGCGGGCTGAGGGGGTGTCCCTGCCACACAGGGGCCACTGCAGCTGCTCAGGCTGGGGACCATGCTACCAATCAGAGCCTCGAACCCTGGAGCCTCAGGTCATGGATGCTGGGCATAGAGACAGCCACAGCCTCCATATCTACCCACAGCAATGGGAGGTGGGACACCCCCCCCATTCCCAAATCTAGGAGCGAGGGTGGCGAGGAGGACGGAGTTAGCACCTGGGGGCAGGGGAAGAGAGGAGAGGTCTCAAGAGCACCCTGTCAGCTGCCAATTTAGCACCGAGAGTGAACAGATGTGAGCTCCGGGTACCCAGGTCCTGGCGGTGGGGAAAGGGCAGGAGAGAGAGCGGGACCCAGAACCCCAAGGAGGACTTGGCCAGATGCCGCCTTTGCTGCCTGGGCTCCCGATGCCACCGGGGCAAGTGAGGAGGTGTCGGAGGCAGCAGCCCTCGACAGGGTGGGACCCAGGTGTGTGTCAGAGGCTGGTGGAAGGCCAGAGCAAGAAACCAGGAAGAGCATGGAGCCTTGGGCTCATTCATGACAAACCAGCGCACACCTGCCCCTTCCTCACTTCCACTGACCTCCCACAGACAGAATACTGTCGGTCCTGCACCCACCACCCACCCACAGCTAAGGCAGCCCCAGCGCATCTCAGGCAAGCCCTGCCCCATCCTTCCTGTCCCCTAGGGCTGGGGAGTGGGTCAGAGAGAAGTGGGGTGCCTGTGAGCCAAATAAAATCAGCAAAGGACAGGCGGGAGGTGTGCGTGGGTGCAGGGGGAGCAGAGATCAAAACGCTAGTGAATGTGGGCACGAGAGGATCCCCAACCCATGCCCAAGTCAACCCTCCCCTCCGGCTGGAGACCACCAGCTCCCTTCATTTGCTCCCCCCGCTGTTTCCCCCACCCCCACCCACAGCCCCCTGCGCCACCTTCTCAAAATCCTCAGGGTTGCAGAATTCCTTGATGGTGACGGTCAGGAGGTTGCTGGTGACATCTGTGACCACCACGTTGGAGCAGGGAGACATCTCTGGACGCCAGTCCCCAGCCTCCTGCTCGGGGTCGGAAGAGGATCGTGGGGGCGAGGACGAAGGGGGCGTGTGGCCCCCATCGCCCCCTCCCGGGGGTGACCGCTTGCTGGTAGCCGCAGACTCAGGCGGGATGGACAGGTCAAGGACCTCGGCCTCGCGCCAGTCAGGGACCGCTGGGCTGAGGGTCTCCGGGAGAAGCTTGGGGGGCGAGTCGTCGGGGTCGGAGGACGAGTGCGGGGTCGGGGAGGTGCACCCTGAGGAGCCGGAGCTGCGGATGTCGTAGGGGGCCGTGGCCAGGACGAGCCCCCTGGGCGGCGGGGCGGGGCCCTGGGAGGCCCCAGCCTCGGCCTTGCCGGCCTGCGCAGGGGGTGGCGTCGGGCTAGGCGAGGGCTTGTTGTAGATGGAGAAGGCCCCGAACTTCACGTGGCGGATCTGCGTGCGCAGGATGCTCTCGCTAAACTTCTTGCTCTTGCCAATGACCCGGTTGCGGGAGGGGATCTTGGGGCGAGCCAGGGCCCCGCTTCCCGCGCCGCCCGCAGCGCCCTTGGCACCCTTGTCGATGACCTTCAGGTTGAGGATGATGCGGCTTCTCTTGGGCTCCCTGGGCTTCACCTTGCGGTTGATAATCCTCACGGTCTCGGAGAAGGGCGAGATGGGCGGCCTCATGCCCGGGCCGGCGCCCGGCCCTCCGCTGCTCTGCGGGTCCGGCCGGGGCAGAGGGCGCCGCGACATGCGGTGGCAGCGCCGGATGTCCTTCTTGAGACGATGCACGGCGGCGCTGGAGTGCAGCTTGGGGGAGGTCGAGCTGGAGCCGGGCTTGACCGAGAAGTGGACATCGGCGATGCGCAGGGCCTCAGCCTGGGCGCGGGCCTGCAGGGCAGGGCAGAGGGAGGTGAGAGGCGGAGGAAAGGTGAGGTGCCCACCTGGGAGCACAGCCAGAGGCAGGGGGCAGGAGGCCAGGGTTCTGGAGGCGCCAGCCCTGCCTCAACCTCCCCCCCCTGCAAAAGAGAAGGAGGACCTCTAAGAAGGTCCCTTCCACCTCTGTCAGTGCTCTGAAATGCCCGGAGGAAGGGGGCCTGCCTCACCTGGCTCTCTGCTGCCCTCTGGTGGAAAAGCCAGGCATCCTTCCCTAGTTGACTTAACAAAGCTTGGGCTGCTTGGAGGGGGGCCCACCTGGTCCCTTCGTCCCTCCTCCCAACTGGCACACTCCTCTCTAATCAGACAGCTCTCCTCCCCCTCCACCTAACAATAACAATAATAATAACAGCTGGTGCTTGTGTAGCGCGGTAAGATTTGCAAAACCCTTTACAAATATGACTCTCAACCAGCCCTGGGAAGTGGAGGCTGCCATTTTACAGATGAGGAAACTGAGGTAAACAGAGATGAAGTGACTTGGCCAGGGTCACCCAGCTAGGAAGTATCTGAGTTCTGGCTTCCCAGAACTCTCAGCTCCTGCAAGAAGGTCTGTTGCCCGGTCCTCATTATTGGTGGTGCCTTCCTCCTGAGACAGACTCGCCTCCGCCCCGATTTCTCTTGTTCGTACATGGTTCTCTTCAGGTGAAGTCACATCACCCCCATGTGAGCTCCCTTTGTATCCCAGGGCTTAGAATGGGGCCTGACACATTAAGCAGGTGCCGAATAAATGTCTGATCAATACCTTGAGTGGGGGCCCTTCCCCACTCACTGGGCCTCAGTTTTCTCATCTGTGAAATGTGAAGGTGGAATAAGAAATCTCTAAGATTCCTGCCAGTCAGAATGGTCTCTGTTCACAGGACCACAGCCTTAGGGCTCAAAAGTCATCTAGCCCCTCATTTTACAGATGAAGAAACTGAGGCCCAGAGGGAGGAAATTACCTAGGATTACAGCTTGGGAATTATAAGAAACTTCAAAGGTCATTTAGTCCAAGCCCTTCAGAGTTTTACAGATGAGGAAGCTGAGGCCAGGGACATGACAGGATCATAGACTGAAAGCTGGAAGGGACCTCAGAAGCTATCAGATTCAACCCCTTCATCTTACAGATGAGGAAACTGAGGCACAGAGACTCTAAGGGACTTGCCTGGTCACATAACTTGTAAACATCTGAGTCAAGATTTGAACTCAGGTCCTCAGAGGACCCCAGAGCCAGGGCTCTGTGCCCTGCTGTTCCCCAGTTCTGGTACTCTGTGACTGAGGTGACAAAGTGGAGGAAAGTCCAGATGGGAAAGGGGGCAGGGGGTAGGGAGGTACCCGAAGGTAGCAGCCGACTCCCCTCCTTCCCAGGGAAAGATAGTGGCCTCTCTGCTGCCTGCCCCCATCAATGCCCGGAGGGCCCCAGCTAGGCTACCAAGCACTTGGAGGAAGCGATCATAACAACTGCAGGCATTCACTGGAGGCGTCACCCAGACTGGGCAGACGTGCAAAACACGTCACTCTGAGCACAATCCAAAGGCAAAGATAAACTGCCCCAGGAATTTGGCCCCCACCCCCAGCTTTGGTTCTAGGGCCAATGGGGAGAGGTTCCCGACTGGCCGGCTCACCGTGACCACTCCCCTTTCTGGCTTCCAGCAGCACTGACTGAATAGGTCCATCACTGGACATTAAAACAAGAACAGCAACAAAACGAAACAAAACAAAAAAAAAAAAACCCAACAACAAAGAATGTCAGAGCTGAGAGGGGCCTGAGAACAGGGGACGTCAGAGCTGGGAGGGAGTTAGAACAGGGGATGTCAAGGCTGGGAGGGGCCTTAGGACAGGGGATGTCAGGGCTGGGAAGGGCCTGAGAACAGGGGATGTCAGAGCTGAGAGGGGCCTGAGAACAGGGGATATGAGAGCTGGGAGGGAGCTTAGGACATGGCTAATCCTGGGATCTCAAAGCTGGATGGGTCCTCAGAGACCATCTAGGCAATCCCCCCTGAGGCTCAGAGAGGAAGGCCTATCTCACGCCAGGCAGGCAGCTTGGCAGGAACTTTCCAGGGCCACCCAGGCTGATGAGCAGTGAGGTCAGGACATGATATGAGACTGAGCTCCTCAAAGGAATGGCTGGAGGAAGACCAGGGTGACCCCCTCCATGGGGGAGAGGCGCGCTCCCCGCCCCCATCCTTAGGAAGGGCCTCGTCACTCAGACCCCCTCACTTTACAGACGGGGAAACTGAGGCTCATTCCAGGTGACCAGGGGATGCACACCCTGTCCTCCATCTCCAAGGTCGGTGACTTTTTAGTGCCAGGACCTGGAACCTAAGCAGGTTCTCTCTCAGCCTTGCTCCACTCACCCCACAAGTACCGTCGGAGGAGAACCAGGCTTGGCCCCAGTTCAATAAATGCATGCTCCCTTCTCTCCCCACCCCCACCCCATGGCTTCCCTCTGCAATGACCCCGCTGGCCACACGGTGGCACTAGATGCCTCCCTGGCAGCCGTCCCAGCTCTGGGAGTATAAACAACCCAGATCCCTTCTAATGTCCGGCATTGTTACAAGGATGACAACAAGAGCCCTGATAAAGAAGGAGGGAGAGGGGAGGGAGGAGGGGGAGAAAGGACAGGAGGAGGAGGAGGAAGAGGGAAGGGGAGGAGGAGAGAAGGGGTGAGGAGGAGAGGAGAGGGGGGAGAGGAGGGGGAGGGGAAGGAGGGAGGGGGAGAAGAGGGGGAGGAGGATGGAGGAAGAGGACAGAAGGAGAGGGGAGGAGGGAGAGGGGGAGGAGGAGAGAGGATGAGGAGGAGGAAAAAAGAGGGAGGAGGAGGGAGAGGAGGAAGAGGAGAGAA